TTCCCTTCCCTTCTTTCGTGTTTCTACTCCCCAATTATCTCCTCCCTCTCTTAATTTCTCGTACTGTTAGTCTCCTTCCATAATTTCGTTCTGAACCATTAGCCTTTTCTTATGGCATCAACATCTATCATTATATCTAGGGCTGTATTTTTTACCAAAATAATAGGAAAAGAATCATGAAATATGCATCATTCTGCAAAAATCACAGTGAAAAGTTTCTAGTTTCTTATGAAAAACGAAATAGAAAAATTTATACAATATTCCATTTCACCTTTTAAAAGACAAGACAATATGTAAAGACAAACCTGATGTCCGCTTCAAAGAAAAGCCTGCTATTGCCCATGAAATATTTTTCATCTTCACTTTTAATTCCTGGAGTAGATAAGAGTAATAAATAAGCACTTGAATTTCAGGGTAAGTCAATTTTAGGAATATTACTTCAAGATTTTGACGAATGCTTAGTAGGGGAAGAAGAAATTACCCTTAATCTAATTAACTGAAGACGAAAAATACCTTATTGCCAAGTTTATCATCATCACTTTCATCTGATGATGATGATGATGAATCAGCAGCAATTGCATCATAAAATTCATCACGCAGTTCTCCATCATCATATTCACTATTTGTAACAGAGACATCGGAGATTTTTGAATGGACAACAGTGGGCAAGGATTCGAAATTTAGAGCTGGATTTGCTAAAATATATTCCTTTAGACCTGAAAATTGGAAATCCAGAAACAAAATTCCCAGGGAATGAGGATCCTTATTCATTCCTTCGAGTTTTTATTATAAAAAAGGTTTAAGTTATGTTATTGGAAGTTCAAGCGTGGTTACCAGAGGGGAAACATATAAATAGTGAACACTGATTTGGCATAGTAAAAGAACAGCATAATAACAGACCTACATTAGAATAAATATCAATAACCAAATCTAGAAAACAAACATGTATTGTTTACACTCTCTTTCACCAGTCTAAAAGTTTGACTTGGTTCAACTGATCATTTTCCTTATAGACATGAAAGCCAACTAATCAGATGAGCAGTCCAAAATACCCTTATGATTTACTTAACTAGGAGAGGGAAGAGAGCAGCTCAAACTGGGTGGTTAGTTAATCATCAAGGGAGAGAATTTATTTCTGTTAGACATTATGTTTGAACAGGTAGTTATGGTTTAATAGTTAAATACATAGATACCAGAGGATTAGGATAAGCCAAAAGTAAAAGAGAGAATTGTAAAGAAAAGTCTTAGGCCCCTCGAACCAGTCTGAGTTACAGAACATGAATGGTCCATAGTTATATATATTCTAGCTAATGAGAAATACCTAATTACTTTAATATGAATGCATTGCATCCTAAAACTGCTAAAGAGAAAGAAAATGGAAGGCAGTGGGAAATTGGTCGAGAAATAAGACAACTTCCCATGTCATGAGCTAACTAAGGCGAATTCATAAAGCATTAGTGGGCACAGGGCAAATGCTTTAAGCATGTTTTGGACTAGTCAGTTGATGTGGTTGGCACAACGTAACCAATATTTTCATGATTAGATGCATGAGAGAGAAATGTTAGAAAAGCATTGTTAACATACAGCCACAGTCGTTACCATAGTGGTAACCACATTGTGTCAGTCATTTTTTTTTCAAACAAGAAACAAACTTTTCATGAATAATATGAAAAGGAAGAAAAAAGTTCAAGGATACAAGCTCCCAAGACCCAAAGAAAGCGAAAAAAGAAGAAAAACAACCAAACACATAAACCAAAATACAAGCTGATCAGGCTTGAGAATCTAATCATGAAAATATTGGTTATGTTGGGGGCTGATTGTCCTTTAATAAGACAAGCTCCCTCCTCTGATATCTTCAATTAAATGAGCTTTGGTAGAAAGAGACGGTATTTTATACTCAAATTATTTAAAAATCCACTAAATATGTGCCTGAAAATATGTGAACTTTAGTGCAAACTAAAGAGATGTTGAAATCTAGATTTCTAGGTGAGCGATTCAGTTTTCCCTGAACTTCAACCTGATAGAAACTGATAGGGAACTAGGCATTGAAGTCTATCATTGACATAAGAAAAGAAAATTACAAGATACCAAGCATTTCAAAATACATGGACTCTCCAAAAACCATTCCCTAAATTCTGCTTGCTTTTCAAACCCCACAACTCACTCTATTCATAACTCCTCCACTTTGACAAAATTATCAAACAATTACAAATATACCATAACTAATATTCCTAACATATGTCTACCAGTATTCCTAACACAACCGTATTATCAACATTCAACTTCAGTGGGTTAGCACATTGGCACAGTTGGTTGTCCATTTCAATTACATGGCACTGCTTCAATTCATCTAGTTTCCCAAATTTTGCCTTGAACAGCTATCATAATGTCAAAAGCTCCTTATACACTGACCTCAAACTTGGAGCTACAGATGTTGTCAGAGGCTTTCTTTTGGGTTTCTTCCATCATTATAGGCAACTGCTCGTGAGACTAAAATTCTCACTCAATTGCACAACCAATCTCGTCCGAGGTTACTAGGGACCTTTTCCTAATCATTCAGACCAATTCTCTGATTCACCTATAGGTAAAAATATGGGATGCAAGTATCAGTGGGAAATCCAAACCAGCCTTGTAATTTTACTATACTAGAAGAGGAAAAGCAACTGCTCTAAAAGAGATATGAGCTGTTTCTGTTGGACATTCAGTTGGGAGGGATAGCTATGGTTGATTTTTTTTTTTCTTTTTAATAAGATATGTATTTTTCATTGATAAATGAAAAAGAACAAAAATGTTCAAAGGATACAAACTAAAAAGAGAGGACAAAAAAAGGACAAAAAAAATGAAAACATAATAAAACTATGCTAGAGATATAAAAAGATCCCAATTGATGAAAATATTATTGTAGATAGCAAACAAACTAGATAGAGAGGGAACACCATTGGAAGCTTTAGTCTTAACCAAATCAAACTGATCTACCCAACATCTTGACTTAATCTTGAAAATTCTTTGATTGCACTCAAACCATAACTCTAAAACTAATCTTTTGACTGCCTTCGCCCATGGAATCTTGGGAGCAACACAGGCTCGTGGACATTGGAAGAATAGGAGAGATTGGGCCTCATTGGCCTGGCCAAATAACATAAAGCATAAACTGAAGTCATTGGAGCATGTCCTGGAAGCTGCTGCAATGAGGCCAGTTTTAAACTTTACCCAAATAAGGATACAAATTTTCTTGGGACTCTTGGACTTCCAAATAACTTCAAATAATTTAGAAGGCATAGAAGAAGAATGGGCAAGCTGTATGGACAAATAATTGACTGGAAAAAACCTGTGAAGCATCAATACTCCAGCCTCTAGAATCTTCAGAATTACTCAAAAAAAAAACTAATTTCAGCATAGATAAAATTAAAGACAATTTGTTAATCTCAACTTCTTTCAAAACTCTTCTTGTATTAAACTTCTAAGAATGACGATCCACATCCCAGCTTCCAAAAATAGAAAATTCACACCAAGGATCTAGCCAAAATAAAATCCGTTTGCCATTTCCAAGATTCGGAGTAGAAAACCAATCCACCATCCTCCATTATCTAGAGATGTTAAAAATAAGATTAGGGGAATAGTGAACAAAAGAATCAGCAAGAGAGCACCAATGGGAAGCCTTGAACTTAGTTGAAGTGAAGCACTCGAACAAGGATCTACTTTTGCCCTTGAAAAGCCTCAAGTTCCTCTTGAACCATAACTCCAAAAGTAGAGCTTTCACAGCATAAATCCATAATAAACGAATTGCTAAGAAGGATGAATTGGCCCACAAAGTAACTGAAACAAGTTGTCTTCCACCTTAAAGTCAAAAACCCAAGCAACTTTGAATTGACTAAGAAGAGAGGACCTGAGCAACAACGGAACAGTGGAAGAAAAGATGGCTTAAATCTTACTCACTGGCCCCATAAAGAACACAAAATGAAGGAAGAAGAAACTGAAAATACGCCTGATGGCTCAATTGTCCATATTCTTTCATCTTCAACATTAGTAATCAAAGCCAAACCTAGTTCTGACAAAAGGGCAGCAAACTCTTCCATCTCCTCTTCCTTTACAGACCTTCTTGACACAATATTACAAGAATGCATATCCTGAGCCCAAAAATCCAAAACTGCTCCTAGGGGAAAAGGAGAGAGTTTGAACGATTTTAAAAAACTTTCAAGAACTGTTGATTATCAAAGTAGAGTGCCAAAAGAAGGCCCTGTTACCAAAACCGATCTTATAAGACAAAAAGGACTCCACTTTCATCCATTGCTTGGAAATATTACTCCAACGGCAGCATTTGCAAGCAATCAAACTTGAAGACGTGAACCAGCCAAAGGAATCAGAACCGTTAAAACTCTCCACCACCTACCGCCAAAGAGAAAGAGGTTCATAACCATAATGCCAACCCTATTTAGCTAGGAATGCACTGTTTCTTCTAGAAAGCCCGCCAATTCCCAAACACCATCTTCAAGGTGCATAGAAGTAATCTTCCAATTGACCAAATGCTTCAAGGGCCCTCTAGAATTACCTTCTCATAGAAAATCTCTCATAACTTTCTCGGTTGGCTTGCATATATCCGAAGGCATTTGAAATAAGGACATATAATAAGTTAGAAGATTGGCCAATACAGAATTACACAAAGTCAATCTGTCTCCCCTATAGATGAAAATGTTTCCATCTATCCAATTTTTTCATAATCTTTTCTAGAACAGGGCGCCAAAAATCAGCACTCTTTGGATTACCAACTAAGGGTAAGCCGAGATACATTAGTGGAAAAGATTCTACCTTACAATTTAACATTGAGGCTACCTGCTGGAGAGCCCTATTCTTGAATTTCAATCCACCAATATTGATATCTCATCTCCTCCAATTAAACAAAAACCATCCTAACCTCTTGTATTCCAGGATAAGATCTTCAAGATCCCTTGATAATCTTCATTGAACAAGCTAATTTTGAAGGAAGAAATTCTTGACTAGAACAATCAATCTAGTAATATGCAACAGGCCAACAATGTTTTCAGCAGCTGGAGTCCTTGAATCAATCACATAAGCTGTAATTCCACAAACTTCTAGATATTTCGAGAACTTATCATTATCAGATGGAAGATTAGGAGAATGATGGATTGGACCACTGTTGTCTGCTGAATATGGAGCAATAATAGATGGGCAGGGGAAGAGACAATGATTTCAGTTGAAAGAGGTAACTTATCTTCTTGTCATGAAGAACACAATACCTCTTCATAAGACTCTTCAATAAAATCTTCATTATTGACTTTGATTGAATTGTTGAATAAATAGGCAGTAGCGGAGTATAGGAATTAGGAGGATAAGAAGAGACCATAATCGAGTATATTTTAGCTATTGAGAAATGCATATAATCATTATTTCATAATCAGCATACCTGCAACTTGGCATAGCAATGCATAAGGAACACTCTTTTCAAACTTTGAAGGGTGAATTCTCTGCCATCTAAACCAGCCTGCCGGTTGTATCTCTAACATTTGTGTAACAAGACATTTTGGAGTGTTTGAACCCATAGATGTGTTTATGCACCTTATCTCCCAACTTGAAGCTACAAGAAAAATTAACCAAGATCACAAATCAAATTTAAATTTTCAATGCGATTAATGAAAAACTTCATCAGTACCATAAGTTCATAGAATGAAAGAGCAAGCAATGATGGTGTAGATTAGAAAATTTTAAAAATTCAGCAAATAAGATTTTAAAAGTTAGCAATTTGACCATATTAATTTGTGAAATTCCAGTTTTCTCATTTTAAAGATATAAAACAAAGAGATTATATATTTAGGGGAAGAAAGCGGAGAAACAAAAAGAATCAGGCAGGGAAAAGATAGAAGTTGAGAATAAAACATATAGAATAGCAGATCATAAGATTTCTGTTTTTACAAGAATCAAATATTGTACCAAAGATATGCACTTGAGGATGGAGGACTAGGAGGTAAGTTCTAACCTAGAGACTTTGACGGGGTGAAGAAACTTTCCAACTAGTTTTTCCTTTTATAAGAAAATGAGCTTTTCATTAATTCTTATTTTTTCACTCTTTCGAGAGTTTTTATCGTTGAACATTTTCATTCTTTTTCATTAATTTAATGCAAAGTTTGTTTCTTGTTCAAAAAAAAAAAGAGATTTACATGGAGAAAAATGAAAAAAAAAAAAAGCATATACAAGGGCATACAAAAAGAAAAATCTACCCTATCACAGGGGGTCCACCTGAAGGAAAGGGCTCCAATCTAAAAGGATAACACCTAACTGATAATTACAAAACAACTTAGAAACCGACTCCCACTATTCTACAGGGAAGGTATTAAATCTAATAAGCTCCCAAACATAATCCCTAGATCTTTCCTCCCCAAAAGAATCTATTATTTCTCTCCAACCAAATCCCTCACAAAATATCAAAGAAACAAGTCTACCACAAAAATCTTTCCTCATCCCAAGAAGGTTGGAGATCTAAGCTACTCAAGCTCAGGAATTAGTTGAAATTCATGTCAAGTTCTCTAAGAAATTCAAATATCTATTTATGGGAGATAACGTTGGCGATTTCGAAGCTAAAGAATCTTCTGATTGAGTCCTCACATCTTGGTGGATAGTTTTGTTTTGTAGTTAGCTCGATATTATCGTTGGATTTTATTATTCTTAATGCTCCCTGTTGAGCCTATTCTATGTTTTTGTCTTGTCTTTTCTTTTTTTATCTCACTCCTCCAGGAGTTTGTATTCTTGAACTTTTTCTCCTTTTCATATATCAATGAAAAGTTTGTTTCTTGTTAAAAAAAAACCTCCTCCATCAAACCCCAGCAGTCTTTGTTACGAACCCAAGACACCTAGCACTCTTGCAAAGCACACACCACTGCAACACTAAAAAGAAAGAAAGACACCTTTAAATACGATTTAAGGGGTTGACCTTTCCACGTAAAACTTGCCACACAAAATTTCTTTTATCTTTTTTGAAATTTTAACTTCCAAAGCAAGGCAAACAGCAGGGCAGAAGGGAGGAGAGAAGGAGAACTAAGTAGGTGAAAAAAAGAACTATAGGATGGACTGGGGGACCAAACTCGAGAACCTTCCTCCTCCAACAAAAAGGAACATCCTTAAGCAGAAGAGCAATGCAGAAGCCTCCAAAGTCTCCTTGTCCGTCAAGGGACGGATGAAGCCCAAGGAAATAGAAGATTCACTCCCCCTTGACGCCAAATAAAGGCCATTGAATGCAGTCTAATATCATGAAGGTGGTACAACGAGGGAATAAAAGACAAAGGAGTTCATCACCCACCCAATGGTACTCCTAGAAATAGGTATTGTAACCATCCCCAACAGAACATTTTAAGAATGGGGAGAAAAAGGGAAAGACAGAAGAAAGCGCCTTCCAAGGATCATTAGCGCTAACCTTAAGCCCACCATACTCAATCAAAAGAATGTGGCCCATACTTGCTCACGAT